TTCCTCCCTGCCAATCTGTTCTATCCTTACTACTTCAAATTTCTTGATCTCTGTTCTGACCAATTCTTGGTACTTGGCCATCCTGTCATCCTTTGCTTCATAGTCGCCAGAAATTTGGTTTATCACCAGCTGTGAGTCGCTGTAGACCATTAATTCGGTGGCCTTCATGTAGAATGCTGATTTGAGTCTTGCAAGAAGTGCTTCATACTCCGCTTCGTTGTTTGATGCTGGGAAGCCAAGGTTGATTGCTTGCTCCACAACCAGGCCGTCTGGTCAGATGAGGACTATGCCAAGTCCTGCACCATGTCGGTTGGATGCTCCGTCCACGAAGAGCTTCCACATCTCTCCAACGAATAACTTCCAGCAAGTGGAGGGGTCAGATGATGTCGTGGGGTCAAGAATGTTGCTGGTGTTTTCTTCAAGGTCCGTGCTTACTGTCTGCCCCTCGCTATCTGCCTGTACCAAATCTTTATTTGTTGGTGAGTCTTGGCTGGGTGTAGCATGGTTCACTTTTTCCTTGCTCTCATTATTCTGGTCTGCCTTGGGGTTCGACTGAGTATCCTGCACCAGGGGTTGCGCTATTCCGGCGTCAACTTCCACTCCTAGTTTGGTTGTGTTAGTCAGGTCGATTGGGCAGATATGATGACTTCCCGGGGTAAATTCTGTGACAAAGTCTGCCAAAGCTTAGGCCTTTATCGCGGTTCTGGGTTGGAACTTAATGTCGAATTGTCCCAGAAAAGTTCGCCCTCTCAAACAAAGCTTTTAATGGGAAAGCTGTGAGGACGACTATGGTGTGGGCGTGAAAGTAGTACGACAATTTCCTTGAGGCCATCATTAAGGCCAAGGCCAGTTTTTCCGGTGGCAAGTACCTCGTTTCGGCGCCCAGCAATGTCTTGCTGACATAATAGATGGGCAGATGTTGGATTCCTTCCGCACGGACCAATACTACGCTAATTGCGTACTGAGAGACTGCCAGGTACAAGAAGAGTTCTTCTCCAGGTATTGGGGTGACAAGCAGTGGTGGAGAAGACATGTATTCTTTCAAGTTTTCCAGTGCGCGGTCGCATTTTCGTCCCACTCGAACTTGGCTTTTAATGCTTGAAAAAATGGTCGTAGTCTGTCTGACGACCGGCTAATGAATCAGTTGAGTGAAGCTGCCATGCCGGTGAGATGCTGTACTTTTTTTACTGAGTTAGGTCTCTCCAGATCCTGAATAGCTTTGATCTGGGAGGGGTCTGCCTCTATACCCCGGTTGGTTACCAAGAAGCCCAGAAATTTGCCAGATCCTACACTGAACGCGCACTTAGATGCATTAAGGCGCAACTTGTGTTTCTTCAGAATCTGGAACATCTCACCTAGGTCCCTTAGATGGTCATTCTTGTCCTTGCTCTTGACCACCATGTTGTCGCTGTAAGCTTCCATTGTTTTGCCTAACAATGGTTCAAACATCTTGGTGACCATCCGTTGGAATGTTGCCCCTGCATTCTTTAGGCCAAAGGGCATGACCTTGTAGTAATACAGTCCTCTTGGAGTTGTAAAGGACGTGACCTCCTGGTCTGGTTCGTACATGGCGATTTGATGGTAGCCTCTGTATGCATCTAGAAAGCTAAGCCGGTTGTGCCCCGCCGTTAGGTCTACCAATTGATCTATCCGTAGTGGAGGGAAGCTGTCCTTTGGGCATGCTTTGTTGACTATCTTATAGTCGACGCAGACACGCCATTTGCCATTCTTTTTTGGCACCACGACTGTGTTGGAAATCCATCTGGGGTAGTGCACCTCTCTAATAGCTCCTGCCTCTAGCAGATTTCCCACTTCTTCCGCCACTATCTCGGCGTGGTGGAGTACCGATCTGCGAGTGCGCTGAATGATTGGTCTGGCGGATGGGTGGACATTGAGTTGGTGACAGATGAAGTTTGGATCAATGCCTGGCATGTTGTAGGGTGTCCAGGCGAACACTTCGATGTTAGAGGTCAAGAATTCCAAGACCTTTAATCTCTCAATGCTGGACAGCGACGAACCGAGCAAAAAGAACTTATCCGGGTTCTTTTCATCTATTCTTACCTCTACTAAGTCTTCCACCGCTTTTTGATCAGCTGCTTTGCCGACATCTGCGAATAGTTCGTTGCTCTCAGGTTCTTCCACTGAATGAACATATCCCTTGGCAGCGCGGCTGCCATTAACTGTGACGAAGCATTGTTTGGACATAATTTGATCTTTAAAGACCTCTTCAATTACTCCGACTTTGTTGGGAAACCGCATTACTTGATGATAGGATGATGCTACTGATTTCATGGCATGGAGCCATGTTCTTCCCAAGATTATGTTGTAAGTGGAAGGGACCTTTAATACCCAAAATTCCACTTGTTTTGTCACGCTTCCTGCCTTTACTAGCAGGATAATTTTGCCGACTGGCCATTCTGGCATTGAGTTGAATCCGATCAGGGGGGATACAGCCGGTGCCAGGTCTTTGTCCTCCAATTTTAGTTGTTTGAAGGTGTCGTAGTACATTATCTCACACGAGCTACCTTGGTCTATCAGAATTCATTTGACGTCGTAGTCCTTGATGCGGAGGGTGACGACCAGTGCATCGTTGTGAGGGCAATATATTCTTTCCAAGTCTTTGTCTGAAAAAGACATGACGTTCTTGGCCTCTGTTCTCTCCTTTTTGATGGTAAATTGGGCACTTAGTACTTCCCTTAAGTGCTCTGCCTTCTTGATCGACCCTCTGAGCTCGCATACACGCTCAAGTCCGAATACTCCATATATCACATTGATCACACCTTGAGGTGGGGCGTCGATTGGCATTCCATTGGGGTTATTGTGGTCCTGGGGAGCTGGTTGCGTCCCTCCTTCAATGTATTTATCCAGGTAACCGGCTGCCACCAACTCCTCCAGATGTTGTCTTAATGGCATACAATTTTCAGTGCGGTACCCCTTTTCTTTGTGGAAGGTGCATCACGATCTTTCGTCGTAGTCTTTCTGTGCTTCTCTTAGCTTAGCTGGCCATCTGACGAAAGGCTCATCGCGTATTTTGCTCAGAATCCGATAGATCGGTTTCTTGAATATCGTGGTTATGGCAGTGCGGATTCTCAACCATCTTTTATCCTGGTCTTCTCCGTTGTCTCGCCTACCTCGTCCGTTTTTGTTCGGACGTTCTACCGCGTTGATCTTTGCTGTGGTCTTTTTATCTGGTACTGCAGTCATGCCAGATTTTGTTTTGGCACGGGCGCCATCCTCTTCTACTCTGATGTGTTGATGTACTCTTTCCATCAAGGCCTCCATGGTGAGGAGCGGTGTCATGGTGATTGAGTCCCTCAGTCTGTTTCCGACTGGAAGGCCTCTTTTGTATTGTGCAATGGCGAGATTGGTGGGGCAATCCCCAATCTGGTTGAATGTCTCCCAGTAGTGACTATTGTAGGATCTTAGTGTCTCATTTTCGCCCATGTCGATGGAGATCTGGTTGAATGTCTCCCAGTAGCGACTATTGTAGGATCTTAGTGTCTCCTTTTCGCCCATGTCGATGGAGAGTAACTGGTCAATCTCCACCAGGGTTTTGGTGTTCGTTCTGAACCTCGTCACGAACACCTCCGCCAATTGTGCCCAGGAAGCTATGCTGCCTTCTGGAAGTTTTTCGAACCAAGTCAAGCCTAGGTCACCAAGGCTTGATGGGAAGAGGATGCACATCAAAGCCTCGTTTCGCCGATATACCACTATAACCTGGCGGAAGTGGCTTAGGTGTATGTAGGGGTCCGTCTTCCTCTCGTACGTGGTGAATTTGGGTTGAAGGAAACCTGAAGGAAGGGGCGCGTTTTCAATTGCCGGAACGAACGGCGAGATTTGCAGCCTTGCTAATGCTTTGTCCGTTGGTTCATAGGTAGGGCATAGCAACGGCATTCCGACCTCGACGCTTCCATGCGTCCGAGGAGCCAACCGCTGATGGGCAGATACCCTGCAAAGGTTGCGCGCCCTAGTATCCTCTTTCCATCGTGCCTTTTCTTCCAACATGTTCCGCAAATCGGACGATCTTGGTAACTCCGTCTGCCTAGATAATGTCTGGTGCGAGTGCGAGGGTCGATAAGTACTTCCCTCCGTGTAAGACCTCAATGATCTCGTTCTCTTAGACCTGGAGAAACGAGTTCTGGAGGTTCTGGATTGAGTATCGCCTGTCCTGAGGCTTCTACTCTCTGCTTGTGATGGTGTGGAATGCCTTCCACGGTCTTCTGAGCGGCGAAGGGGCGTCTTGCTTTTGCGCCTCTCTCCTGTCGCCACTCATTTTTCCTTCATCTGGCGTTTTATGGCCTCCATGTCCGCCGCCATCTTCCTTATTAATTCATCTTGCTCCTTCACGCGATCCTCCAGAACTTGAGGATCAATCCTCCTCCTTTGTCTGTCAGGACTTCGTGAACGAGAGTGACAGGGGCTGTTAGTCTGCCTCCTCCCCCTTGTATCCCTCTTGGGATTTTGTCGCTGTGGCTCTAAGTCCGCCATGGGAGAGATAAAAGGTAGGCCTTCACGCCTTGCACCCCCCTCTGGTGTTTGTCCGTCGATGGCGGACTGCGGCAAATCTTCGTTGTGTGCCATTGCTTCTAAAGAGGAAAAGCTTGATCAAGAGGTTTTGTTCTAGTCTGACTTTCCCACAGACAGCGCCAATTGTACGGGAAAGAAATAAACCTTCTCGTATAATCCTGTTGATCAAGTCTGCGCGCCTCCAAACGTCGTCGCTTTACTCCCTAAAAACACAAACGTGAGCTAGCCGGTGGGTGTGTGCCGGAAACCTCTCCGATGTCTAAGTCAGCAAAATAGACAAGTAGACAAAAAGCTCTGTGTATCAAAGTTGTGTGTTACCTCTCCATAGGTGATGTTATAAGCTTTTATAGGTTCCACGTGGCACAATCCTAGTAGGACTTTTATTCCTCCATGTAGAGTCCTCCTAGGATTCATACTCCTGAAAGATAATGTTTATCCTTCAACACCCCCCTCACTTATTTAAACCAAGTGAGATGGTTTTACCATGGTCAGACTCCAATGTGGCCGAGGTACGCATGGCTATGCTTAGCCGTAGAACAGACCGAACTATCCTTAGTTCGGTTCGTCCTTTTACTGCCCTTACCTCAGTTCCTCCTGTACAAACCGTGGTAAGTCTAAACCGAGTTAACTTTTAGCAAGGTTTAGACCGAGCTAACCATACTGCGCCATAACCGGTATAAGTTTTAGTATGGTAACCGAGCTAACCTCCTTGGGACCGGAGTAACTTTAAACCTCTTCAAGACCGGAGTAACTTTATGCCCTTTTTACTCAGCCCTTCGCACTGAGGCCCATAACGGCCCAGCTCAGCCCAATTTTCATATAAATTACCCTCTCACAAATCATAAGTAGAGAGAGGTTTGTAAACAAAACTATTTTGTGTCGTGAAGTAGATGGATGGTATGAAAGTGTTGTATAGCAGAGATATATATAGATGATGTGATATCAAACATTGTTGGATGCCTGTGAAGATGGAAGGAAAATTAGGGGCGGGTCTCTGTTTTTTTAATGTTTAAGAGATGGGTTTGGAGAAGAGATGGGATCGTGTTTGGTGAGACCGCCTGAAATATCATCAAATATGACTTCTCCACCTGGATTTGACTTCTCCACCAGATTGACGATGAGACAGTGGAGGTAGGTGGTGTCAAAGGTCATAGCTACAAGGATTATGGAGGTCTGTTGCTCTCCGTCGTCAATCTTGGTTAGAGAAGATAGCGATGGCCGGGTTAGCGGCGGTGGAGGAGTTAGAATCAAAGAAGGGAGAGCTGTAGAGAGAGACAAAGGGAAAAGAGAGAGAGACATAGAGAGATTTTTGGTTACATTCAAGCTTTGCGGCGGTAACATTACTCATTGCATCTACTTTTGCGGTGTGATGAAAATTCACATATGTAATGGCCGTTTCAGTATTAAGTAACGGCCGTAGCGGTACTATAACGGCCGTAACGGCCCGTTGCACGCTGTTACACATATTTACAAGATTTTGAACGGCTTTCCACAAAAAAATTTCCCCAAAAAAAAAAAAAAAAAACCTTAAAAAATATACATTATATACATTTTGCAATATTTAGTAGCTCAAAAATAAATTTTGTTTATGTCTCAATTTTTATTTTTATAATCATTTCATTTAATAATTGTAAACATTTCTTATTTAGTTAGTTCAGGTATTGATCAAAAATAATTTTATAGACATTTAAAATTAATTATTCTTAAAAAATAAATAAAAATAAGGGTAAACTACCAACAGGTCCTAATAGTTGGACTTAATTCTCATCAAGTCCTATTGAAAATAAATTTTGATAAAATTGTCGTTAAAAATAATTTTTTTTTTTTGGTGACAATTTTTTACATACGTCACTAAAAATTGACAATTTGTGACTTTTTTGTCATAATTTTTATAAATTGTAGCTAAAACTTACAATTAGTGACTTTTTTTATAACGAATTTTTTCCATAAGACCTATTAGACAATAATTCCACTTATTAAGACCCACACGTAAGTATCCCTAAAACTAAGAGGTACAATATGGATTTATGACATGTAAAGTCATTAACTCTTGAAATAAAATATAAAAAACTCATTTTATAGTGATTTAAAAATATGAAATATATTAGATTATACTTAAAAACTAACAAAAGTTTATCAAAATCTATTTTAAACCCCAACAAATATGATTTTGAAACAAAAATATGCATATCAAGTAAGTTTTTTTTCAAAGTGTGTGAAAAATAAAAAAACTCACAATTCCTGCTACCACAACCGTTATGCTACGGTCTTTACACCCCGCAACCGCACTACCGCAACCACTTTTAAAACCTTGGTTACGTTAGTGTTTGAAGTCACGATAGACAGATGGTATAGGTATATACATATATATATATATTAGGGGTGAGCAGCGGATATATCGATCCGCCAAAATCGACCGAACCGAACCGATCTGCTGCATTTTGGACGGATGCGTGATGACGAGCGGACGGTTGCGGATTGATTTTCTCCAATCCGCCAATTTGGCGGACGGATGGCGGATTTGAGATTTTTTGGCCGCAACCGAACCGCCAAACCGCCAAATCGCGAGCACCCCTAGTAATTTATAAGACTTCGTATTTTCAATTTGTTTAAATATTATGTTTGTATTTTCAATTGAAAAGAGTTTAAATATTCTGTTGAAAAAAAGTTTTTAACTTGAATATATTTTTTGAATTGAAAAAAATAAACATATTATTCATCTATATTTTTTAGTTTTTAAATCTAACTCTAAAAATAATAAATAGAAAATATGATATATGCTTGTTGGTTTTTGTTTTCAAAAACATATATAGATGTTGGTGGTTAGTTGTTGGCGAGAGAGAGAGAGAGAGATAGAGAAAGAGAGAGAGAAGGTTGTGCCTACGGTCTGGGGTATCCAGAACCTAATGTGACATTTGCTCTTTGCCGAGGCAGCATGTCTTCACCAGCGGTGAGAGCATTACTCTTAATTCATTTCAATGAAAAGCTGTGTATGCCTAGTTCTGGTTGTGTCTTGTCCTCAATAAAGTGAATGAAAGAAACAGTTAAATGCAGTTAAGGGTGTACACGTCAGATGATATTGTGAATGAACTGGGAAGAGCAAAAGTGGAGTATTTGGAAGCATCTGTGGGAGTAACCAGCAAGAAAAAGATTGTGGTGCCTAAGCTTCTGCAATGGCACATGAGAGATTTTGCAGACGACATGCAGTCGCTACTGGAATGGATTTATAGTGAGTTGCCACATTCTGGCTCACTAAAAAGGTTGATAATGGAGTGCCTAATTGGTGAAACAAAGTCTCCTATAGCAAAGAAGGCAGAAATTCAGGTCAATGACTCTGAATTCCGTTACTTGCTTCCCTTGTAAGCTAAACAAGGAAAGAAAACACAGAGCAGCTGACAAAACAGTTAAAAAGATTTACAAATACAAGTGACAGAACTATAACAGCTCTAGAATTCAAGACATCAGCAAGGATAGATGAAAAGCGACACTTTGCTCTAGACCTGTTGATTTTTGGGGAAATAACTTGTGTTTGATGTGCTTATAATTCTTATCAATGTTCAATGTATTTGTTGTATCTGTCTCCAAAATTTATACATATTAAAAAATATATATATCACATTAGTGAAATTTTTTATAAAAAAAATTGTAAATCAGTGAAAAACTTTATAAATATTAATAATTAAAATTAAAAAAAATTAATGACCATGTAATTTTTTGGTCTTTACTCACGTACCTTTGAATGATAATTAATAATTGGGCAAATTACATTTACAATTTCTGTAATTTGAGACTTGTATTATTTTGATTTTTGACTTATTAATTGTAATACATTTGATTCTGATCTTATTTTAAATAAGAATTGCAAAAGGTCAATTTTAAAAGTAAAGTCGTCTTTGTGTTAATTAACTTTTATATTGTTTGAAATATTATGGTTTTTTTTTAATGAATAATGTTTGGTTTGGTTTTGAAAATCTATTTTCTAAGAAACTAAAAATTAAATTGGTAAAAAATATTAAAAATACATCATTTTTATATAATTTTATATTTTGGGATGGTAAAAATAATTTTTTTATATTTGTTTTCGTTAAATTAATTTCTATTTTTTCAAAAGTCAAACGTGGCAATAACTTTGATGTCATTATTAAAAAAGTCCATTACATCAAAAAATCTAAAACTAAAAATATTTCATATATTAAATATATCAATTACACATTAAAAACCTAATAACTACTCATTACATGATAATCATTCAAAAATAACTCTTAACAATAAATACAACCATCTATTACATGATAACAATCCAAAAACATCAACAAATATAACCACCCATTACATAATCATCATCCAAACGCATACTAAAAATTAATTTGATAAAAAAATTAAAAATAAAGTAAAAAAAATAAAATATTTATCATTTTTATATAATTTTATCTTTGGTGGATAGAAATAATTTTAAAATTTCAAAAATAAAGTTTTGACATTTATTTTGTCAAACTAGTTTATATTTTATCAAATTGACGACTTTACCCTTGAAATTGAGTAAAAGTGTCTTCAATTATTTTTGTGGGTAAATTACATTGACACCCACAATACATTTAGAATCATCAAGATTGTGACTGATAGTACTGAGAAGTTAGAACATCTCTAAAGAATTTTTAAAAAAGATTTGTTGATTATTATAATTAGTATCATCCTATTTTACTCATTTTAATGGATTAATTATTACAAAATTATTTAAATAAATTTTTTTAAGACTAATTACATTTATTGTCACGCGCCTGCTTTTTAGAGGTAACGGAATTTATTTTGTGCTTAAACTCCACCAAGTGTTAAGTCCATCTAAACTCTCTTCGACCATCGAGGATTTTTACTCTTCTTGTCAAATGAAAGTCCAATGGTATATTTACTAAGAACAACTCCCACAAGGAAGCTTCGACATCCATGACACTAGTGGACTAGACGTCTACAATTTCGTCCCATATAGGACATATCGTTTCATGGCACCAAACTCACTCTCAAGCAAGTCACCCAACTAAGGTACATGTCAATCAAGGCATCCCGTCTCAGTGTTGTCCACAATTGACCCAAACACTGTTGCTCAATTGTGAACCAACGTAAAACCCTTTAGCTGACAAGCTTTCCCACTCTTAAATCAGGTCTCTTGTTATGCTCGTCTTGAATAGCCATAGGTGATTGAGAGTTTTGAGAGGCTCTTTAAACAATTTTTGTGGATAGATAGATAAAATAAAATAAATAACATTGGAGTATATAGTTAGAAAATGAATTAGGAATATATCATTTTCATATTTTAGTTAGTAAAAAATAAAAGATATGTTTGAAATTGCTTTAAGAGAGGGGGGAATATAAAAAAAAAAATGCTAGAGATATGTAAAAATAGCAACAAAAAATAAAAATAAAAATAAATTAGTATATTTTATGTTTGCAAATGCTACAATCGATAGCTACCTTTGACGAGTTGTTGAAGCATTTTTTAAAAGGTTAGAAATTTCCTCAAATTTAAAATCTAAATTTTATTGTCATGTTAAGGCCTATGAGGCTCACTACACGAGTTCTGTTTCGATAATCTGAATAATTCATTTTATAAAATTTCTTTGTACATCATTCTTAAAAAAATTAAGTCAATCTAATAATTATAATATTTTTATTTTATCAAATTTGTCTCTAAAAAATAGATAGTTTATTTTCAAAAACATATTTCTTGGACATTTTTTCGAGATAAATATAATAAAATAAAAATACTACGATTATCGAATAGACTTAATTTTTTTTTTTATATAAGTGATACACAAATTTTTTTACAAAAATAAACAATTTGAATCATTCCAATGTAACGGTTAAGAAGGCCTAATCCTTTCTAAAATAGAATAGCCAACTCGTTTTTCAAAGAATCCACTATTTAGTTTAGGGGGAACAAAAGGCAAGTTGACTGCAAATGTTATAATGAGGCGTAGGTCACCGTTAGTCAACTATATATTTTAGTCAAAAAATTTAAAAAATTATTAAAAATTATCAAATCATTATCTTTATTTTTTGACATATCTATTAATAAAAAGTCAAAAAATTACTAAAATAATTTATTTTCAAACGAGGCATTGGTTCAAGTCCAAGTACCTAGCTTTCAAAGGGGGTAATCAGATTCTGAGAAACTTTAGTTATTAACAATTGTAACTAACAATTCAATAGATGCTTATTTACGCTGTGTTTGGTTGGAGGATTTGGAGAGGGATTTAGAAAAGGAAAGGGAAAAAGTATATGAAATTAGGTGAAATATAATCATATTTTATTCACATTTCACCTACCTTTTCTATTTACCTTTCCAAATCCCTTTTCAAATCCCTCAACCAAACACAGCATTAAGGAGCATATTGATGCTAAACTTGCTAGTTGATGTATGTGTGGGGAAAAACTTATTACACTGAAAGGATGACATTGGAGAATGTTTTTGTGCTGCTATCCAGTTTGTTATTCTAGTTAATAAGGTGACTTGTCTAAACAGCTCAGCATCACTTTGCTGACATAACTTATGGATAGATCAGATTTACCTCTCATAATGTGAATCTTTCTTTCATAAAAAAGAATCAAGTTTGGTTGAAATTTACATATATATATATATATATATATCGATTAATTCTTTTGTGCTCTCAATGAACACTTTTGTTGGGCTCAAGACCTATTTTGGATTCCTCGATGAAATTCAATGTCCTATGACCCCTCCCAAAAAAAATCAATCATTAAAGATTTTTTTTGGTAGTCAGTTATTTAAAATCTACTTGTACCAATTGATATATATATATAATACACATATAATCTCCCTTCTCAAGCTGTGGCCAACATACACAAGGTCTTGAATAAAAAGGATTTTATTATCAATAAAGTAAGCATTTGTTAATATCAATGTGGGGAAGCATAACACTAGGGTTGGTCATTGTTCTCAGCACAAATTATGCAAAAGGTTGGCCATTAAAACTATTTTATTTTTGCTTATATCTTTTTTCTCTTTATCTGTTTCATAATTTTTGTTGGTTTTTTCCTACCTTCTATAATATTTTTATTGGGCACACATAAAATAGGCCCCATTTTGTTCATTGTATGCTTCAATAATAGTACTATATATATCACATTTCGCTAACTTACAAAGGTCATGTCATCAGGGCATGCTTAATAGGGAAAATGATCAAAGATTGGACATGAATGAGAAATTGAGCTGGCAAATGATTTGGTCTGAACGAGAAGTTACTTGGTTGTTTTGGGTAGAGTTGTAAATGAGCTGGCTTAAATTGAGTCAAATTTTGATATGTTTAAGTTCATTTATTAAAATTTTAATGGGCTTGAGTTTGAGTTTGAACTTAATGAAAATTTAACAAACCGAGCTTAAATCGAGTTGGTTCAGGCTTGATTCGAGTTCGAACTTATTTACTAGCCTTAACAAATCAAAAAAAAAATTATAAATGCATACTTACGTATGAAGTTAAAGTTACAATTGAAATTTTAATTATACAATTATATATACAATATATTCAAATATAATAAAAGAAAAGTTAATATCTTATCAAAATAATAATATCCACCACTAATATTATATAGGCCTCCTTTGGAAATTTGGCTATTTTAATTGACTTTTTAGTTTTTTTTTTGGGTATTTTAGCTTGGCTAAAAAAGTTGTGTTTGAAAAGTTTTTTCAAACATGTTTATACTGATAAAAGTTGTGTTTTAAAAGTTTTTTTTTTTTTTTTGGGTAGTTGATTTGATAATTGTGAGAGAAAAAATATAATAATTATGGTTTCGATGTGACATTCTGTCTTACTAGCTAATTTATCATATTGTCTTTATTAGCCATTAATGTATTATCTATAGTTAGCTATTATTTATATTATTTGAATATATAAATAACATATTTATCCTATTTTTTATACATATGTTTACATTATTTAATATATAATAATATATTTATTCTATTATTTAAATAAATGTTAAACGAACAGCTAACGAGTCGAACTTTAGAATATTTGGATTTATTTATTAAAATTTTAACGAGTTTGAGCTCGAGTTCGAACGTAATAAAAATTTAACGAATCGAGTTCGAACGAGCTCTTACTGAGCCGAGCTTGTTTATAAATTATTCTGTTCATTTGTAGTCTTAAGTTTGGAGCACGATTACATTAGTGTCCCAAGTGTATTATAATTGATAAACAGAATAAAATTCATAATTTATGATGAATGATTGAAAAATAACAAAAAAATATAACAATTTGTAATTATTTAGAAGTATGACCACGTGTTGTCCTAGACACGAAATAATTTTTCCCATTCAACCAACTTGTGTTCTATCCTAGTACTCTTTTTTCTAATTTCTAAAAGCATTTTATTTGCCATAAATGCCCATTTTGACATGATTTAAAAAAACAAAACCAACCCAAACTTGTACCCCGTGTTGGCTTGGCCCAAATGAAGCTTGGGTTAGGTCTTGACTTAGAATTTTTTTTTTTTTTTTTTGGATAAATTACAAACACACTCCCTAAAATTTACTTAAATTACAAATT